TGGGGGCGGTGGGGGGCGCCTGCTCTTCGGGCCCCGCCCCAGGTCCCACAATGGCTGAGGCTCCTGGGGTCTGCGATGCAGGAACCTAGGCTTGGGTGTCAGATCCGGGGCTCCCGGGCGGGTTGGAGCTCCAGCTGTGCGCCCCAGCTGTGCGTGCTTGGACAAGTGTTCCTCAATCTCTGAGCCTGATTCCTCCTCTGTAAAACGGGGTTATGTTGTAAGGTACCCCGCGAATCACAGAAGGACGCCTCAAGAAGTCGAATGAAAGAGTCACATTTATCGCAATCGGGACCATGAGGGGCCATTCCCCAAATCTCATAGTAACAAGAAGGTCGCAGCTCCAAGGTTATATAGGCAAAAAATCACAAAGGTATTGATTACATCCCAGGGTTTGGAATGAGGAACCTGGCTCGCAAAAAGCAGTTTACAGAAGCAGAATTAAGCATGTTAATTATAGTTTTGGGTCTCGGGGTCACTGAATTGACAGAAATACATTATCTAGAGCCCTCGGGTCTGGAATGAGGAACGTAGTTTGCAAAAAGCAGTTTAAACAGCATGTTATAAACACATTATCTAGAGCCCTTGGGTAACCTGGGTTTATCTAAATTACAGTTTGGGGTCTAGAGCCCTATGACCTTGGGATAACTGTGCTGTCCTTCCCAGGTAAAGGAAAATGTGCTTTCTAAGGCCAGTATGACCACAACCCATGGGATATTCACATTACAATCAATAAGGCATTTAATCGAATGGGATGATTTATATAATTCAGAAAATCAAAATAACCTGTCCATTGTTAAACAAAGCAAACAGGTACCATACTTCAGTTAGGCCCCAGCCGGTTTGGCTCAGTGGATAGAGCCCCGGCCTGCACACTGGAGGGTCCCAGGTTCCATTCCCATCAAGGGCACAGGCCTGGGTTGCGGATGAATCCCCAGTAGGGGGCGTGCGAGAGGCAGCCGATCCAGGATTCTCTCATCATTGATGTTTCTCTCTCTTCCCTCTCCCTTGCTCTCTGAAATCAATAAAGATGTATTTTTAAAAATAAAATAAAATGGGGTTAGTAGCGGGGAGGCTGTAGAGAGTAATAAACTTGCTCTGGAACACAGCATTGCCCCTCCCTGTCCTCCCTTGACGTTCTTGGACCCATTAGGCTCCCCACTGCCCTTTGTCCAAATATGTTCCCTTGTAGGGTGCACTGACACTCCAACCAACTGAGCCACGGACAGGGCTGGAGTCTTAGTTGTGTGTGTGTGTGTGTGTGTGTGTGTGTGTGTGTGTTAATCCCCACCCAAGGATGTTTTTCCATTAATTTTTTTTTTCTTTTTAGAGAGAGGGAAAGACAGAGAGAAACATAGATGTGAGAGAAACACATCGATGGGTTGCCTCCTGCATGCCCCCCAACCAGGGCCATGGACAGGGAGGAGCCTGCAGCCCAGGTACATGCCTTTGACCAAAATCGAACCCAGGACCCTTTGGTCCACAGGTTGACGCTCTAGCCACTGAGCCAAACCGACCAGGGCTTACTTGTTTTTTTGTTTTTTTTCCAGAGAGGAAGGAAGAGGGAGGGAGAGATAGAAACATCAATGATGAGAGAGAATCATTGATTGGCTGACTCCTGCACCCTCCCACCCACACTGGGGATTGAACCCACAACCCGGGCACGTGCCCTTGACCAGAATCGAACCCAGGACCCTTTAGTCCGCAGGCCAACACTCTATCCACTGAGCCAAACCAGCTAGGGCTTTGGTTTTTTGTGTGTTTTTTTAAGGGAGCAGGAGAGAGAAAGAGAAACATTGATGAGCTGCCTCCTGCACGCCCCCCACTGGGGATTGAGACTGCAACCTGGGCATGTGCCCTGACCAGAAATCGAACAGGCAACCTCTGGGTGCATGGGTCAACGCTCAACCACTGAGCCACACCAGCTGGGCTGGAGTCTTAGGTCTTCATGCGTCGGATCACATCTTAGCAGATCTGACAACGTCTGTCTCGTCTTGACAAAGTCTGGTGGTTCCAGAGCTAGAATGCCAAATGGCCACAAATGCAGCGAATTTACCGAAGGAAACACACACACACACACACACACACACACACACACACACGGCACAGAGCAGAAGACGCACAACAAAGAAAGCACCCAGGAGAGGAGGCGTCATGTAAAATAAGATGTCAGAATAAGAACCAAACCTATCCATCACGTGGCATCAATAAATGCAAATAGGGCAGGCCTTGTTTGGAAGGAACATCCGTGACAGGCCTTCGGATCAGACAGCTCGTCCTGCCATATCCCAGCCTCTGGGCCTCACAGGGCCTTTGACTCGCCCTGTCCCAGCCCCTCCGCCCTGGTGACCAGCTCTGCGTGGGCTCCACTGGCTGCAGGTGGAAGCAATCCTCCACGCCTCACCTTATGGCCACCCCACACCACTTGCCCCTCAGACAACCGGTCCCCCGGGTGCTCTTTACAAGAGCTCTCTCCGGATAGGACTGAGAAATTGCATTGCCTATTGTTCCAATGGCCAAAGGGACATGATTGCTAATG